GTATGTACATCGTTGCTGGTCGGCCGGGGCTCTTCTGGAATTTCTGGCATGTCTTGCATCTCCTTGCATAGTCAGCGCAATCCTTCATTATTGTTGGCCAAAAGTACCCCTGGAGGACGACCTTCCTAGCTAACGTGCCTGCCCCCTGATGGGCGGAGCATACGCCCCCATGGAGTTCAGAGACGATCATTTCCGCCTCATGTGGGCGTAAACACTTTAGCAAGGTCCCATTGTAGGACCTCTTGTACAACTTCCCATCCAAGACGACGTAGCCCGGAGCTCGTCGCCGGACTAACCTTGCCTCCTCTTCTCTCTCGGGGAGCGTCCCATCGGCTATGTAGCGCAGGAGGTCATCCACCCAACACCAGGCGACTGGTTGCAGGGGAAGGACGTCAATGGACGGTGAGGCTGATATGCTTGAGGTCGTCATCTCCTCAATGCGTGCAATTCTCGATATATGTTCAGGTAACCCTTGGGATAGCTTTGAGAGGAGGTCTGCATCGGAGTTTTGATTTCTCGGGATGCAGATCAACTCTGCTTGCTTGAACAACCCGAGCAACTCCCGAACAACATCTCGATACTTCATCATTCTTTCTTCCTTCGCTTCGAACTCACCTTTGACCTGTGAAACCACCAGACGGGAGTCACATTTCACCGTTATCCACTCTGCTCCCATGGCGACCGCCAATCGTAGCCCAGATAGTAGGGCCTCGTACTCCACCTCATTGTTGGAGACTTTGAAAAGATAGCGGTAGGCATAGTAGGCTCGGAATCCCTCGGGTGAGATGAGGACGATTCCGCCCCCGCATCCCTTGGCTCCTGCCGACCCATCAGTCGCTAGAGTCCACCATTGTTCATTGCTCTCCTGTTGCCTATCTGCCACTTCTCGGGCCGTGCATTCCACAATGAAATCAGCCAGAGCCTGGCCTTTGATGGACGTCCGAGGCTGGAAGTCAACCTCGTATTGGTTGAGGAGCATCGACCACTTCACTACCCGGGTTGTGCCGGGCGCCCTCAGAGCGGCACCTATGGGTTGGTCCGACAGGATTCTGATCGGGTGCGCTTGGAAGTAGTGTGTCAACTTCTTGGCGGTGATGTAGGCAGCATATATTGTCTTCTCGAGCGGGGTGTACCGGAGCTCAGCATTCTGGAGGGTCTTGCTCACATAGTAGACGGGACGCTGAACGCCTTCCTCCTCGCGAACCAGCACGGAACTGATTGCACCTTGGGAAACCCCAAGATAAAGGATTAACGTCTCCCCCCTCTCCGGCTTGCTGAGTAAAGGCTCAGAGAGGAGGTACTTCTTCAGGTCGTCGAAGGCTCGCTGACACTCATCATTCCAGACGAAACCATTTTGTTTCTTTAGGACTTGGAAGAAGGGTAGGGACTTCTCGGCGAACTTGGACATGAAACGTCCAAGGGCTGCTAGCCGGCTGGTGAGAATCTGGACTTCTTTCACCGACCTCGGGGGTTCCATGTCAAGTATTGCCCTTACCTTCTCAGGATTTGGCTCAATCCCCCTCCGTGTGACCATGTACCCCAGGAACTTGCCTCCTTGGACGGCAAAGGTACATTTCTTCGGGTTCAGGCGCAGACGAACTGCCTTCATGATCCCGAAGATCTCTGCCAAATCATCTGCATGATCGGATGCCCGGGTGCTCTTGACGATCATGTCGTCAACATACGCCTCCATGTTCCTTCCGAGCACCTTCCGGAATACCTTGGCCACCATCCTCGTGTACGTCGCCCCAGAGTTCTTCAGCCCGAAGGCCATGACAAGATAACAAAAAATCCCCTCTGGGGTGACGAATGAGGTCTTCTCCGCATCTTCTTCATCATCTCTTTTCCTCTGCAAGGCGTCCTCCGCCTCGGCTTGCCGGTCGGCACGGCCGAGCGCCTCCTCGTACGAGGTAGGGGGACTTCTGACGAAATCTTTGTAAAGCTCGCCCGATCGGATAGAGTTTGTGAGCATGGCCACCCCGGTCCTGTCATCAAGGCCCTGAACCTTGACTGACTCGGCCCTCCACCTCGCTAGGAAGGTCGACAATGATTCCTTCTTCCCCTGTTTTAGGCCGAACAGGTGGCTGAAGTTTTTCTTGACATCTCGGGAGCTCGCGAACCTCAAGAGAAAGCGCTGAGCCAACTCACGGAAATTCGTGATACCCCCGTCGGGTAGAGAGTCATACCATTCACGAGTCGGGCCATCCAAAGTGGCGGAGAAACCGCGGCATCGGATTGCGTCCTCGTACCCCATCATGACCATGTAGGAAAGGTACCGAGATACATGATGCTGGGGGTCCAAAGCGCCCTTGTATGCTTCAATGGCGCAGGGCTTGTAGCCCCTCGGCAACGGCGCATCCATGACCGCCCGGGTGAAGGGTTCGGGTATCCGGAGGTCGGCCGTGTAAGGCTCCCCCCCGACAACCCTCCTTCTCAACTCGTCAAGGCGCTGTCGTAGATCTTCCACCTCGGCCGGCGGTGGGTTCCCCCGGACAGCTCCAGCGCGGGGCTGGGCATGTCCGGCGGCACCTCCAAGTCATCCGTGCACGTGAGGTCGGGGCCCCACGTTTTGCCTCTCCGTGGAGCCAGTCCGACTGCTCGCCCGGTGAGAGTGGCGAGAGGGCTCGCCTCCTTCCATCTGCGTTGGGCGCCCCTGCTGGGTGCCCCTCCCCGTCTGCCGATGGGGTCGGCTAGGCTGCTGAGAGACTTCTTCCCCCCGCCGATGGGAGACTTCTTCCCCCCTGTTTTGGTTGGATCCAGAGCGTCGCTCATCACGCCGCCTGGAGGACACCTCCACATCCGCTGGCGTCTGTTGACGGGCAGGCTCATCCACATTTCCGCCAGACACCATCTGTTGGAAATTTTGAGCCAAGGTCCCCAGAACCCGAGTTGCCTTCTGCAGGGCTTCCACCCCGGCATTGAGTCGAGCCGGGTCCATGCGCGGAGCATGACGTCGGCCTCCCCCGCCGGCTGTGGACCGAGCGCTCACCTTGAGTGTGGTTGAGCGTCGCCCTTAGGTCGCCGTGGCCTGATAATTGGTTCCGAAGGTCGCCTTGGCGCGCCGCCCTCCTGCCCTGTGCATGGTTGTCGAGGGCACGCTGGCGGCCAGACCGGGCGGACTCCTCGGTGTGGACTGAGACATGGTCACGTCGAGACGAGATTCCAGCCATCTTCCTGTGTGATTCCTGCTAAAGTTATGTGAGAGACAATAGAGGCTCTCAATGAAAGCACCAATGTTGGTCCAAAATAGGACGCTCGTAGGCTTTTAGGAAAGCTACGTACGACACTCAAGCAAGAATTAGGAAAGTACGAATATGGAAAGTTAGCCAGAAATAGCATATCTGTATTTGAAATTCGAATTGCCTTTTATAGGCGATTACAAATGGTAACTGCCGAACATAATAATGACTAAATTAATTACAACATTAATACGGAATTAAACACATAATTAAGTCGCGCATTGATTGTTGGTCGTTACTCTTCCTGGCTGGCAGGTCAGTCTGGCTGGCAGGCTGGACGCTTGAGCTCCCTCCTGCTGGACTGGACGGGGGGCTTCCCGCTAGGCTGGAGGAAGGCTTCTGACCGGACTGGAGGCAGGCTCCCGGGTAGGCTGGACCGCAGGCTCCCAGTTGGGCTGGACCGCAGGCCCCCAGTTGGGCTGGTGGTCAGCAGGCTCCTGGCTAGGCTGGAAGGCAGGCTCTCCACTGGGCTGGAAGGCAGGCTCCCCACTGGGCTGGAAGGCAGGCTCCCCACTGGGCTGGAAGGCAGGCTCCCGGGTAGGCTGGACCACAGGCTCCCAGTTGGGCTGGAAGGCAGGCTCCCCGCTGGGCTGGTCGACAGGCTGTCTTGGGCTTCCGCTCCTTGATTGCCCTGATTGGTTGGGCCGACTCGAGCTCTAGGTTGCTGGGCTTGGGCCCGCTGGTCCAAGTTCGGGGCCTGGGCCGATTAGGCTTTGGGCCTGGTCCCATAACCCCATCAGTCTTCTACATAAGCATCTCAAGTAAACATAATTGTTATGAACCCAATAATAATAATAAAAATCTATATTTCTCAATTGTTAGATCTTAAAGTTTACTCATTAATAAGAACGTTTTTAATTGAATTAAAATTTTGGGTTTGATTTGGTATGAATTAATATGGTTTATTAGAGGCCTGATTTTTATGTGACTTATTGTTATAATTATTAAAGTTTGATCTGATCTGATTTAATCTGGAACTGAAATCAATCCAATTAAAAACATTCTATTAAAATAAAAGTAGGAATTCGTAAACCTATAAAGATCTTCTAATTTGGATTAGGAATCTATTTCAAAAGTGAAGGCATATTTGAATTTTAGGTGTACAATAAAGAAACAACCAAAAAATTTTACTTATTTGGCTAAGCTAAACATATTTACTTGTGAAAATATATATACTTTATGTTGGTTATAATTTTTAATTTCATTTTTAATTATTTACTTGTTTGAAGCTTACTAATTTATTAATAGGTGTCAAATTAATAAGTAAACAAATTTGCATATTTGTTTCTATTTAATTCGGTGTAGTAAACTAATATAAATTAGTTTCCATATCAATAAACGTTATTAGAATTTCAGTTTGATAACCAAAAATTATTTTACTTATTTGAAGCTTACCAAATTAATTAAGGTGGATTTATAAGGATTTTTGTTTCCATATCAATATGCAATAAAAAATAGAATCTAATAAAAACAAAAGGTATAAAAATAAGTAAATAATTGTTATATATAATGACATGGCAGGATTATGTGGCGCTTTGTATGCTCTTAAAAAGTTCCTCTTTTATATATATGTATATATATTGATATTGATTGGGGTGTACCGGTTTAAAGTTTTAGTTTGTTGAATTTATCGTTATGACGTGCTCCTATTTATATGAACACCAATATTTAGTGTATACAAAACATTTTTTTGGTAAAAGTCCATAAAACAATATTTGAAATTGTGTACAAAAAAATTGCTTGTTAAACTAGGCAACATATAATATTAAAAGAGCATCGAATTTCACGGAAAAAAATTGCACCAGACAGACGAAAATGTACAATTATGTAAAAATAAAAGGAATGCAAGGCCAAATGCTTAGATGGGCTGAGTGAGATATCTTGACCACCCATGTCCAAATGAGATATGGCCCGCTGGAACATAATAAAGACAAGGGAAAGGAATAAGAATGTCATTTGTTCGTTTCACTTCTAGAGAGAGGAAGAGATGTCAGGAAAGTTTTGACCGCTCTGTGGCCCTCATCCTTTGTCCCGGAAGGGAAAGATGGTTCCATTTAATGGTTTTGAGGTGTGTAACGACGTTTTCCTTCGTCGATCATCGGATGGGTGTGTTTGTTCACTGATGAGAGCATCATCGTTCGTCCTTTCTGGAGGTCAGTGTCATTCATGCTTGGATCTGCTGTTTATGTGATCTGAGGTACGTTTTCCAATCCTTCAAGCTTTTGTTTTGGGTCGTTTATTTTCGCAAGTGTTTATATTATTATCATGACATCACAACAACTACTTATTTTTTAATGGGATTCCCCACTTCAAATGAGCAATTATTGTGATGTTATCTAATAACAGCATATGACTCTATAAAGGTGTCATATATGCCTCCTTTAGTTCTTTAATGAATATTTATGTTATGGCATATATGATTCCTTTAGAGAGTTATATGAGTACAACATTAATTACAATATTGTACTAAACAGTAAGAATATTTTGGAACATATAATGGTTACTTTACAACGTAACACACATGCGTAGAATTATATATATATATATATATATATATGTGTGTGTGTGTGTGTGTGTGTGTAATTGTACTTTCCTTCAACATGACATAGCTCGTGGGGCCATGCGAGGTCTTGGTCCATTTCAATTTTGATAAAAGGAAAAATCAAACTTTGAGTCCTTCAAATAGTACTCATACTGAAATGTGTGCCGCATGTTTTTAAGTTTATAAATGTCATTCTTCAATTGTCTAAATTGTGATAAACATGGTCCTTTAAGAGGCGACATTTACAATGTTGGTGACGACAACATTTACATTCATCTAGGCAATTGAGGGGTGATTACACACTTGAGAGCGCAAGGACTCAATATTGGCACTATTTGAAGGACTAAAAGTGTAATTTTCCCTTAAAAATATATTTTAATGTAAAATGTTTTGTATAAAAATTTATATGGAAAAGTTATGTCTACCGACTTGCTCATGTATGTATATGGACCATTTTTTGTATTCATTCTTCATGGTTCATGTGGTAATTTAAGGTGTTGTGATAGTGTTAGTGTTATACGGAGTATGTTTTTGATAAATAATTCAATTTGTGATTATATATAGAAGTCTTTAATAAAAAATAATTTTCAAATTTGACACTCTCTCTTACCCAATTTGATTTGTAAAATGTCAAAGTCTATATTTTTCTTTTTCGGAATTATTTGTAATTTTACACTTTCATTTTATTTTGTTCATTTTTTTGATTTTATCTATTTTTGAAATCATACTATTTTATATTATTATTGCATTATTGTTCAACATTAAACGAATTTTCATAAGAATAATCAATTGTGTTAATTAGTTTTTAAATAAAATGTTTTAATTTACTGTGTTTTTAATGTAAATATACTTATATGACACCTTTTTAATACAAGTACTTAAATGATGGATCGAAAATAGTAAAAGAGTCTATTTGACCCCCTTTCCCTTAAATAAATAAGAAATTGATAAAAATAAGGATAAGTTTACCACTTTAATCATTTTCGCATACCAAAAATAGATAGTGAAAATCACTAATCAAATTGGACTAAGAAATAATACAATTGATTTTAGTAAGCAATAGATGAAAATTGTATGTGTATTACGTAGGTGAAATATATTACGTAGTACGAAAAAATAAAGAAGAGGGTTAAACTAAATTGCAATAATATTCAAGCTCAACTTAGAGTCACCCTTATTGATCAAGATTAGAGAGACATTGGATGCATTACTTGGAGGACAAGCTAAAATCATAAACACACATAATAAATTCATGTGTTGACCTAATGAGGGTTAAAGGTCATACTAAACCTTGGATGAAACTTAATTGGAAAAATTACATCCCTCCAAGGTTTTCTTTAATGTGAAAATGTTATAATACATATTCAATATGAAAAGCTAGAAATGAGCTCATTTTTTGCGCACAAATATACTACTAGTAATATTCAGGGAGCAATCTTTCAATGTAGACTACTTGTTTTCCGGGTGCTTTTCAGAATTTATCCTATTAGTATGATTATTTTTTAAGGTGATATGCTAAAGTGCACTAGCTTGTTCTTAAGCAAAAGATTGTTTTGCTTGAGTTTAATTGGGGAATGCCCCTCTAATGATGTAAAGAACATTTTTGCAACATCTATATATGTTTACTTTCTACCGAAACGATAAAGCTTAAACTTGATTGAGCATAAAGTAATTTACCTTAATAGGAATAAAACATACCATTTTTTATAAACAGAAGTTCATCTCAAATCTTCCATGTACTCCTAATTTAACTAAAATAATTAATTTCACATATAGTTCTATTGGATAGTCGGTCAGTCCGATGGTGGCGGGCAATCCAGTGGCAGCGGTGGCCAATAAAATCTATGTTTTTTTGCGCCGCCGGAGTTCTGACGACCGGTGGCAGAAATCTGATATGTCGGCGACCGGCGGCGGCGCTCAAATGACCAGCGGCACTGTAGAAGTGGTAGCGACATTGTAATAGTAGTAGTGGCAAGAGTATTTTTGTCCAATTATAAAAAACTCCTAGTTTGAGAATTTTAAACAACTATTATCATTTTAAACTTGTATCATGAAAATAATATAGTGGATTTGTTGCAACAAATGTAGTGGGTTGTGCTTTAAACTAAAAAATCATGGAACTAACTTAACGGTAAAAACTAAAAAACATGTGACACTATATGTACTCCATATATTATTAACAACAATTCTTGGTGTACACCTTCTTATACGTGTCTGTGAGAGTTTTTTTTGTCTGTGAATCCCAGTCCACAGACAAAAACAAGCTTGTTTTGTCTGTAGAATTTTTCATAGACAAAACTAGCATGTTTTTTTCTGTGGACTGGGATTCACAGACAAAAAAAACTCTCACAGACACGATGTGTACTGATGTGTATAAGAAGATGTACAAAAGGAAGTTTTGTATTATTAAATAACTACATAGTAATTAATAATGTGAGATCTACCCAAATGTAAAGGAATTTTCTTTTTAAAACTCCGCCGTGTGCAGTCAAAAATTCTGAATTAATAATTTAATAGCTGCCTAATTTAAAAGGAAAATTCTTTCCGAAGGAGTTCATGAATCATGACACCATGATCTGCATTTCTTTTATGAAATCCAAAGTTTCAACTCCCTTTTATATATTCAGAAGAATGTAAAAATTTCTTTCGTTTAAGAAAGAATCACCATCTTATTTGTCGTTCATTTTTTATTCCCTACATTCCAAATGTATATTTAATTAAATAAAAACTTGCCTTTTTGGTGAGAAGACCAATTTGGATCCTGGGATTTCTTCATTCCATCTGAAGGTCGAATTCTTTTCTTTTTTGTGCATCTAAACATCGCGTTTTAGGAAATATCCGTGGTTCATCACTGTTTTCTGAAATAAATAAAAAATCTCTCTGAATTTGTTAATGAAATCATCTTAATTTCTATATTTCTCTCCTTTCAGATTTCAATAGGTGGGGCGAACAGGTGCTAGTTATTCAATTGTTTCTTCTACACAGGGAAGTCCAGCTTTGTGATGCATGAGAATGGGGAATATCTTCACTAGTTTATGTTTCTTATCCAAGGTCTGTTTGGTTATCCACTTTTCACATTTCACTAAATGAAATTTCTACCTTTTTCTCCTTAGTGATGCATTGTAAACTTCTTCAGTGCCATTTCACATTCCTGATATAGTTAAACAAAACTCCCAGATGGATATTCATGGAAGGAAATGAGTTATTTTGTTTTGCCTCAATTAACTCCGGAAATGAAAGAGAACTTTATGGTTCTTCTATCTTTGAGATACAAGGAGAACCTATTATTCGGGAAACATGTAAAATGCCACTTCTTTGAAATCTTCAACCAGGAATGAGGAATGTTATTGATCAATCTAATTAGTATAATACAGAGTATGATTTACAATATATACCAAACTAGTTGTTTACTTTGGGTGATTTTCCAACGACATTAAGTTTTGGAATTGCAGTTGTGGTCCACGAATGACGACGACGATGATGACGATGATTCATGCTGTCATGTTAATTTTTCAGGAGGAAATGTAACCCTCATTACCACAAAAGAAAGTTGGGAACAGAAGATTGAAGAAGCAAGGAAAGATAACAAAATTGTAACCATCTATCATGTTGCCTTTGTTACTTTGAAGTATATGAAAGTAACAACATTCTGGAATTCCCGAGCAGTTTGAATTAAAACAATTGAAGAAGGAATAATCTCACTTTGGTGAACCACTTGTTTGAAACACATAAAAAGTTGTATTGTCCCACAATTGAGGGATCCAAAGTGAAACTTTCCCATTAATGATCAAATCATAAAGTAATTAAACTGAAAAGAGAATGTTTTATTTATGCAGAAATGCTATCTTGGCATACTAACTTTATTTGTTTCGGAAGTGTCTATGCATATTATCTTTCATGTTGCCTAAGTCATTTGTCCGTGTGCAGGTGATTGCGAACTTTAGCGCCTCATGGTGTCGTCCTTGTAAAATGATTGCACCATTCTACTGTGAACTATCTGAGAAACAACCTTCTTTGAGGTTCTTGGTGGTCGATGTGGACGAACTAAGTGTAAGTACACCAGTAACACCACCTGTTAAATGAGTAAAAGAGTGTAGATTGAGATCCAAGTATTTTCCCCCTTTAATAAATAGAATAGAGGGTAGAGTGTCATCTTCTCTTTTCAACAATTTCAACAACAAAAACAAAATGGATGCACTACTTGCTTTGTCATTATACTCGATTCAAACTGTGTAGCCATTCAAGGTTGATAAGAAAAACAAAACAAAAAAGAAAAAGAAAAAAACAAGCTCACAAACAAACACAATGTTTTATACATCATGTTCAAGTGTGCAATGATATTCCATGTATCTCAAAATTGTCTCCCTAATCTTGAAGCAAAGATTATCAATTGTGTCATTGGTATCAGGACTTGAGTTCATCGTGGGAGGTCAAAGCTACCCCAACTTTCTTTTTCATAAAGGATGGAAAGAAATTTGACAGCCTGCTAGGGGCAAACAAGACAGAGCTGGAGAATAAGATAACAACCATTATAGACTCAAAGACACCATGCCAGCCATAGTTGTTGTGTAGATGTTTTTATGAGCAACATGGAATGTTTTTATTCTGTAAATGCAGAGTATACATAGTATTATTTTCTTTCATTTTTTCTGGTTGAGAAAATGGAAGGATAGCACTTAGCGGTTAGAACCCACCACCACCAACACGATTTTAAAGGACATATGAATGTTATATTTGAACATATTCATTTGGGGTGGACTTGTGATCACATCTGTGTTGCCTTGCCAAGCTGAGTTATGGAACTTTCACATGCAACATGGTAAAGGTTAGTGAAATGTTTTCTTGTCATATCAAAGTTGCCTTGCTCTTTTTTCTCTGAAAAAGGCACTGAATATCATCGATCTTTCCATTGTATTTTTTCTTCAAAAACATTTCACCACATTGGTTTAAGGAAGTGATAAACTCATGTGAAATCTTATTTGTCATACTTATTTCTCTTATATATTTAGGGGTCTGTTCGATAACAGCTGTAACGGCTGGAACAACTGAAAATGTGAAAAGGCTGAATCTACTGATTGAAAGTATTTAGTAATATGTTGGTTAAAATGACTGATTGAATGTAAAATTATCATAAAGGGTATTAGCTTATTTGTGTTAAATACATGGGTGTGAACTTTACTAGTAAACTATTTTTGCTTGATTAGGTAACTACAAGACTACTGATTACTTTGGAAATTTCACTCTTACTCTTATGTTAAATTTTATATTGTTTTATACATATACTTTCCAAAAAAATGTGTTTTTTCGAATTGTCGACATTAGTACCTAGCATTATTTTGTGTGACTAATATGAGTAAATTAATTTTAAAAAAACCATACCTTTCATAAGTGATATAATAAGCTCACGTGCAAATTATAATAAAATAAAATGAAACATAAAATACACATAAGAGAATTTCTAAGTAAATGTGTTCCTAGTAAAAAGAATTTTCCCAAACAGTTTTACGTTGCAGTTAATAGTTTCTGCGACATGATTAAATAAGCTCACGTGCAAATTATAATAAAATAAAATGAAACATAAAATACACATAAGAGAATTTCTAAGTAAATGTGTTCCTAGTAAAAAGAATTTTCCCAAACAGTTTTACGTTGCAGTTAATAGTTTCTGCGACATGATTAAATAAGCTATATATTTTTTTATTCACCTAAAACAACAATTGATTATCACCGTCATTCACATAAAAACTAGTTGAAGTCATCGAATATCTAACAACCTTGGGTCTACGAACAATTGAAGAAGAAGAAGAAGAAGAAGAAGAAGAAGAAGATAGAGCGCAACAAAGCTTTGAGATACCCGGTTAAGCACTGATAGAACAAGAATATGTGTGATCACCATCCCAATCAGCATCACTATAAGCTGACAAAGAAAGGGAAGCATATTTTAGAAGAAAACGGTCATACTCGATGGTAATAGGTCATCACTATAATGACTCATAATTAATTGGAATTTCAAGGTGTAGTAAGCAAGACTTTGATTATTTCAAGTGAAATATGAACTAAGCTTGTTAACTTTTCACAAACCTAAACCTAAGGAAGTTTTTGAGTATATTTATATGCAACATTCCTTCCTAATCAGTAAAAAGAGAATGAGAAGAGCGGACCTCTCACACACATCAGATTTTGACCTCTTAGTTCAAAATCGAAAACTTGCACCCCTATACGGGCGGACCTATGGACACGATAGCTGAAATATTTAGCTGACATCAAAAGATCATTTAGCAGGCGGACCAATTTATGGATGAGCTTTGAGGCAAACGTTTCCAAATGAGCTTAACATTTCTGAATTGGCATGTCTATGAATGAGGTTTCCTGATCACTACACAAGAAGTTTTCGGACCAAACATTTAGAGAAGATTTCTGGATCAAGTGTGTTTGCAGATGAAGCTATAAAAGAGAGGTTTCCAGATCATAACATTTCCACATCAAGTATGTTCCCAGACCAATGTTTCCTGATGAAGTGGTGCCCAAACAAACCTTTGACAAGATCTCCATATGAAACTTTGTTTCCAGATGACTAAGTGCTAGTTTGATTAGGGGGATTTCGAAGGAGAGGGAAGGAGATGAGTCATATTTAAATTTAAAATAATTTTTACATTTAGAAAAATTGAAATAATGGGAAGACAATAATATATAAAAATACATGTTTATAACTAATTATATAGTTATTTTCTAATCTAATAAAACTAACAAATTCTAACTAATAAAGTAAAAAACAATCCTCCTGTCCTCTCTCCTCCAAAACCTCCCAACCATACTGGCCCTAATTTTCCGGATGGGTTCTTCTACCTCTGGTCTCAAACACCATTTTTGAACCTTTTTGTTAGAATAAATCCATGAATACTTTAATCTTCATATTGAAATTATCTAGAGAAATAACTGAGCGGAAGCGTACCTGACTCCATGGGAGATGATGTTTAGGGATCCGGGAGACGGAGGCTAGGGTTTGCGTCTTCTAGTTGATACACACCCTCGGGAATTATCTCTCTAGCGATGGGATGCAGAAAGACGGAATGACGTGTTCAACTAGGGTGTCACGCCCCGGACCGCATCCGAGCCACGTAGACAACCGCCGTACAACCCGATAAAAACAACAACAGTTCATCCCTATTGAGTTGTACAAGGCGTCCGATTGATTCTATTGCCAAACCGATTAGTAAACACATACAATCAACATCAATATCATAATAAAACAAATGCGGAAATAATAAAATGTTTGATACTTAGCCACACGTGGCAAACACGGGCACGCAGACCCCCAACTGTTTTAATGAAAATATTGTTCAAAAATCCATGAGCGGTTTATACATTTGAAATAAGAATGGAAGCACGAACCACGTCTTCCTTCTCGATCAGTCACCCTAGGCAAAGGTGCAGGTAGTAGGACTCTAGCCTCAACCTGAAAATGTGAGGGCCCCCGGAGGGGTCAGTACTCCATAGAAGTACTAGTGACAAGTAGGCTATATGAAGAATAACTAATGTTTCAGACACGAGACCCAAAAATAGGGTGATATATACATATAGATGTCCCTCATCCACCCGATGATACATACTGTATATATACTCGTAAAATACTCAACCCGTAGGTCATTTACCTTAAAGAGTCTTTTAGAGATAAAGTTCTTGCCTGACTTTTCTCACTCCTTTCCCGGTTACCTAGCTCACAAGCTATAGTCTACCTTCGATTCATACTATCGAGTGTTTTAGGATCATTTACCGTCCAAGGCACTCAACCCATCCTGGAGTATTTAAGATCATTTACCGTCCAAGGGTACTCGGCCCCACCTGGAGTATTCTGGATCATTTACCGTCCAACCCTGGAGTTATCACATTTTTAATCACCAACCCTACATAACATGCTTTTCAACTATGTTTTATGCAAAATCATGGCATAAGCAAATACTTGATTATCTTTAATCATTCCACAAAACATATCCTTGATTACTTTAGGTAATCTCATGCCTAACGCAAAAGTTATAAAGCATAAAGCCGTCTTCTCACCTTAATGAAGCTTATGAAGTTCTAGCCTTCCCGATTTAGCTCCGACGAAACTCCGGCGAACTTCAACGAACTCCGGCGACAACTCCGGCGACCTTTTCAACTCCGTGAAAGTTCCTTGAATACCTTAGACAAGTTACTAACAAGGTTTTATCATCATAAAACCCATAGTAATACAAATAACCTCAAAAAGGTTATTTTCCGGCGAACCGGTCACTTGGCTTCTAAGTCCGTTCTTGGACTTAGAACTACCTTCCAACCCCTCTTTCTACACATCCCAACGTGTAGAACATTACTAGGGTATGAAATATGATTGAATAATCATATAAGATAGTTTAAGAAAAGGAATGGGATTAATGAAGTCCTTACCTTGAAAATCTCAAGTTTTGCTCTCTAGCTTCCTCTTTTCTCTTCTCTATTCCTCCCCTTCTTCTTCCTTAGCCTTGGTGCGAAAATGGGTGAAGAATAAGGTGGTTGCAGAGCTTATCTCACCTCAGTTGATGCCAAAACCGAATGAATGGCTGTAAGGGGTGATGGGAGTCTATTTTGGGCTCATTAGACCATGATGAGGGGTGGGGGGTCCTCTTGGAGTCAATTCTTGTCTCAACCTCCCCCCTAGCTCGGCTCTCTCATCCAAAGTCAGTATTTGCACACTCCTCTAACCAAACAAGTCTGGAAAAAACGTGGGGTGGCCCCCACCCATGTGGGAGGTCATCCCTTTATGTTCCCACGTGTACAATCGGTCCCGAAAGTTGTATTTTTCGGACTGTTTTAAGTATATTTTATTTTATCGGGTCAAATAAAATATAATACTTGTTCCCAATCCTTATTGGACCTTAGAATCAATATGCATTCCTCAACTTTAATTTAGAAGTCTCCAAAATCCCTTTTTGGGCTATTATCTAATAAATTGCCGATACTGATAATTTGGCCCCGTTTGACCAATCGGTCAACCCTATGCCATTGCCATGGCTCAATTAGGATATCCACCACCATATACATATTATCTAGTCCAAGATCAATATAATATGTGGCCCCGATAATATCGGGCGGCCCCCACCTCCGGTGTGGGCCCCACGTGAATTTTTTCTATTCACGTAAAAGAAACGATAAAAATTTACAATCACGTAAAAACGCTTTTATACATATCTCAGGGTTCAATACATGATTTGGTACAGTACAAATACTCGGGGACGGTGTTACATAGGGACCATAACCCCTTATTTATAGAGAGTGCTTAACCCTAATCAGCCCATCATTGATTAGGTCAAGCACATGGGTCTCTACACATTTGGGCCATATACCTTATTAGATAACTTATTAGCCCACTTAAATTAATATCCATAGGACCACTAATTTTTTGGGCCTAAATATAAGATAGCATATAACATACAATTAAACCCGATAAATAATATACTGCGAATATTACATGTAGTATAAGTCCAATAATCTAACAATCTCCCACTTGGATGACATACAATCCTTAGAATTGTATGTTTACTTTAGGAGCTCCAAAATTTTGCTATCAAACTGTAGTCATCTTTAATCAATCCAGTCCATTAATTATATCAACATAGGACCAAAGAAGTCTTTGCTATATTTGAATAACTAGACCCATCAATAATCACGTATATTAATATAATAAACGACATGGATCAAGTATAGGTGTGTAGCGTGGAAATAACATAAAGTGTGGTCTGGAATAGAATGTCTATTTCCAACTGGTCCACCTTGAGATCAATAATATAACTATAAGAGTACATAAAACTTTAAACTTTATTTCTGCAGAAAATAACCTTAAAAACTTGAATTAAGTAAATTAACCAAATATATAAACATTACAAACTCCCACTAAAACTCATAATCCTCAACTGATTTGACACCCATTTGAGCAACATGCTCATGAAACACTTTGGGTG